TTCAATTCCTGGCCCATCCTAAAAAGCTAGGTGGAGTGGTGTACCTGTGCTCCCTGCTATTCAGAAGGCTGAGGCAGGAAGATGGATACAGCAAGACCCTATACACAAAAAACGCCAAAAAAACTACATCTCACCTGCACCCATCCAACCGCCCACCCCCATACACAATACTTTGAACACAATTTCTGTTGTTAGGTTAAAAAGGTGCTACTATTGAGGCCAGCAGGTGGCATGGTGGTTAAGGTGCTGGGCACTCCCACATGGCTGACCATGGTTCGAGTCCTGGACCTGGTGGTTTGCTTTCTCACTTTCCGTCTCTCTCTCTGGCCAAAATAAAATAAATGAATAAATAAAATTAAATAATTTAAAAATGTACTACTATGATTTAGTCAGAAAATAAATAATGCAATTTTCTTTAACTTCATATTTATCAAGTCTCTACTGTATGTATATATTACAGAACTTCTTACTTCAGCTCTTTCTTACTTCTTGTCAGTGACATAACAGTCGTTCATGTGAATGTACTATCAATTATTTTACTAGGACTTATAATAGTTTGGAATTTGTGAAAAACCTCATTAAATTTCACTATAATCACTCAAGTGATAATTCTCATTACAACAGCAGCTTAATAAAAATCACTGTGTGCAATGAGCCCACAAAAGCCTGCAGAAAAAGATCTCATTAATAAGTCTTCTTGACATTTACCAAGTACCAAATATCATACTGAGTTTTTCATGCATTATTTCATTTGATCAGTTCTTAAAACGACCTAGAGAGTAGTGCTACTATCATCCCCATTTTGCAGATAAGGAAACTGAGGCTAAAAGATGAAATAACTTGTCCAAGGTCACAATGCTAGTAGGTAACATGGCCAGAATCCAAGCCCAGGCTGCTTAAAAGCCACATGTCTTTCCACTTTCCCATGCTGCTTGCCTGCACTAGAGAAAACTGAAACACTAATTTTCTATGGAGTGTTGAGAGCCAGACATTAAGACAAAATACTGCTGAGCATTCACATAAACGCAGATGAGAGCTCCCATCTTAGGCCATATCTGTGCTAGACACTGGGAGCACAAGGCAGAGTCCCTGCCCTCATGACCCTCACAATCTGCAGAGTAAGAAACTGGACACGTAAACCATGATGAGTGTCACAAATGAGTTGTAAGAATAGTACAGAAATTTCTGGCAGAAATCTCTCTGACACAATTGGGGTAAAGGTATGCAGAGTCAAGAGGAATTGTGAAGGTGGAATCCACAGCACTGGGTGATTGACTGCACGTGCAGTAATGGAGTGAGATGGCGACCGCGGATGAAGGAGCAGACACGGGATGTGTTGGCCAGGTACAACGTGACGGATCTATAACATACTGAAGCAAATACAGTCATGCACCACATGATGCATGGTCAGCAGGAGACTGCGTACGTGACAGTGGTCCCATAAAACGATACCATGTAGACGAGATGTGTAGGAGACTATACCATCTAAGTTTGTGTATATACCCTCTATGATATTTGTACAATGACAAAATCGACTAACAGAATTTCTCAGACAGCCCTGTTGCTAGGTGACACGTGAATGTAGTCAAATTGTGTGTTGCAAAGTCCACTGAGGGGGGAAAAGGCCACTGAAGCAACAAATAGACTCTTAGCTCAGTAAGCCATTTGGTTCCATGCTAATCCACTCCTGTAACCCCCAAGTGCTCATCATCTCTTTTTTATTAATCTCCCTATTTCTTACCTAGTCCTGTTTCATTTTATTCATAATGCGAATATGGCCAAATCACTTTTCCACTTGAAATGCTACTGGACTGCACTGTCCAATGAAGTAGCCACTCATCACATGTGGTTAGTCTAAACTGAGAGGTGCTGTAAGTGTATGATACCCACAGAAGTGTGAAGACTTAATATCAAGGAGGTGCAAATTATTTTATTAGTAATTTTTATATTGATTGTATGTTGAAATGGTAATCATGCGTAATAAAGTATATTCTTAAAAATACTTCGCCTGTTTCCTCTTTACTTTTTAAATGCGGCTTCTAGAAAAATTTAATGTGTGTGTGTGGCTTGCCTTGTATTCCTATGGGTCAGTGCTGTGCTAGTGTATGCCACCGACTAAAGGATAAAATCCAGAGGCCAGGTGGTGGCCCCGTGGTAATGCTACTCGACCCACACGGGGAAGGTCCTGAGTTTGCATACCTGGACATCTCTGAGCAGGCCTGCAGGGCATGGGACCCCTTTGGGGAGTGTCTGCCTCTTTGTCTCTCTCATTGAGGCAATAAATGAACTAACTTAAAAAAAGATGAACCTGGGGTAAAATCTAAACTCTTCATATGGTACACAAAGTTTTCATGGTCCAGTCCAATTTTCTGTCTACTTTACACAGAATTTTCAACTCCCACATCCTAAATCCTGTGCATTTATCCCATCTTCTCTCTCACCTTCCTTTGTGTGTTGCCCTCCTAGTCCTATGAATTTGCTCTGGCTAATAAACTCCTGCTCATTCTTATTTTTTTTTCAAGAATTATTTTATTTGGGAACCAGCAGTTAGTGTAATGGCTATGTCACTGGACTCCCACGTAGTCGACTGCGGTTCGCGTCCCGGACCCGGTGGCTTAAAACTCACGCCGGGCATGTGTGCGTGCGTGCCCAAGATCCCGAGAGGAGAACGGAGGAGAAGGGATTGCGGCATGACCACCCCCCCGGGGAGTGATTTCTTGCTTTCTGTCTCTATGTCTCTCTCTGTCTGTCTGGCAAGCGCACGCACCCTATAGCAAAAAACCTCTCCAAAAAAAAAAAAAAAAGAATTATTTTATTTCACTCCTATTTTATTTAACTTCACTTACTTTATGTATTTTAATTTGACCAGAGGGGGACAGAGTGAAAGAGAGAGAGAGATGGAAAATAAGCCACCAGGTCTAGGACGAGAACTGGAGTCAGCCATGTGGGAGTTCAGTGCTCTTAACCACCACACCACCCGCCGACCCCAACTCCTGCTCATTCTTTAAGAATAACAGCATGCTGCCACCTCTGGAAATATTTCACTAACTTCTCTACTCACAGTAAAGGTTTGTCCCCTATGACCTCACAGCATCAGTTACAATTACACTTATATACCAGTTTCTATCTCCAGCCGTGTCCTATGTTGTCATGAAAAGCAGAAAACGTGTTCTCTAAATCCCCAATGTTCAGGTTAGCTCCATAGTACAGTGGCTAAGTGCTGTGTATAGAAAGCTGGATTCCACATAGCAGACTGTGGTTCAAATCCTGACCCCGGTGACTCAAAAAACATGCCAGGCGTGTGTGTGTGCGTGTGTGTGTGTGTGTGTGCATGTGTGCGCACGCACCCCAAATCCTAACGGGGCATGCAAAGAGAAGAAACAGGGATTGTGGTATGACTATGCCTCACTTGGGGGGGCATGCTTTTTCTCTCTCTTTCTCTCTCCTTCTCTATTGAACACATATGCCCTCTGGCAATACCAAAAAAAAAAAAAAGTTCCCTGTGGCACAGTGGGTAACTTTAGGTGTTTGATAAATGTTTGCTAAATGAATTAATCTACCTAGATAATTGTTGAGAAAATGAACAAGTGTTTATAGAACTTAATACATGTACTACAATAAAAATATCCATTTCAATGAGTCAACAACAGGCCATGCACAGGAGACTGGGCTATGTTTAAATAACGCCCAGATTAAATACTTAAAGAATCACTTTCATACTTACAGATTTCCCTTCTGCCCAAATGACTGCTCCAACTCCTGTTTTATGATCCTCTGAAAAACACATGTTATTTATTTAATTCACTAAAAATCAAAGGTCTGTTAGTTTCAGAAACACATTATTTCAAAATAAAAATAAACATATTTACTGAAACATTCTTCATAACTGTAGCAGTAATTTTTGACATCTTCACTAGCTACAGAAAAGCACCAAACACACACTGTTAAGTATGGAATACAGGAATTACGTGCCAAGCAACTAGACAGGGAGAGGGTCACTACCAACTCAGTCACATCAAGCAGGACCAGTAAAATGGTAGGATCCACAGAGAGATCCCTTCAGACCTATAACCAGCACTGAGTACAGCTTCACTGATTCTCCACTAACAAGTCAGTCTCGGAAGGACTGCTTTTCATAGGCAACAAAATGAAATAAAACAGGAGTTTCTCAACTAATGGATTTATTTGATACCCCTTTATAACATTTGTCTTCTCCTAGCATTTTATACTCTAATCATGAAAAATGCATTTTATGGGGATATTCTTGCTAAGAAAAATTTCTAACTTCTAATATAAACATAAATATACCTTTATGGATTTTCATCTATCTATCTGTTGCTGAATGGAATTCTGATTTAAACAAAATGTCCTTTCCTTGACCTTCACAGTTTACCCAGAGGGAAAAAAGAATGCTAAGTTAGAGACCTTCGATTATTTCTAAATCAAGTGGCAGGAGTTATAAACATAAGATTATAGTTTTCTGGGACCAGCAAGTGGTGTGGTGCTGAATTCCCACATGGCCCATTGCACCACAGTTCCAGTTTCGGACATGGTGGCTTGAAAATCACGCTGGGTACATGTGCGTGTGTGCCCAGAATCCAGAGAGGTGAATGGAGGAGAAAGGATTGCCTTTCTCTGTCTCTTTCTGAAGAGCACACGTGCCCTATGGCAAAAACATTTAAAAAAACAAAACAAAAATAAAAACCAAAAAAACAAAACCTCAAAGATTATAATTTCCTTGCAGGACAAAAACTTTTGCAACAAGGTGTATTTCTTAAAACAATCTGAAACAGAAAATAAAATGCCGAAGTGAAAATTCTACATATTAAACATTCACTTCAAAGATTTGTTTAAAGATCTACTTTTCTAAGAAGGTGAGTTTCAAAAAAGTGGTAGGGCACCATTGCACGAGACTGTGGCCACATGGGGGACGCGTGTTCAGATCCTGAGCCAACCTGAACAGGCAGGGCACGGTACCTGGGAGGCTGAGCAGGGGCTTGCAATGGGGAGAACCTGTCACAGACACCCCTCTCTCCTCCTCTCTTTCCATTTCTCCCTTGCTCTCCCTCTCTTTCTCCCTGTCATAAAACAAACAAACAAACAAATTCTAAGACAAATACACACTAACTTAAAAAAACTATAGTATTTATTAAAATCTTAATAAGGGACCAATGTAGTTAAGTAAATACATTTACACACAGAAAAATAACAATTTCCAGTGAACTCATCCTAGGGTGTTTTCTTTTATTAATTTATTATTTTTAATTTGACCAGAGAAAGAGAGGGAAAGTGAGAAGGCAAGTGACCAGATCTGGGACTCAAACTGCAGTTGGCCATGTGGAAGTCCAATGCCTCCACACCACGCCACCCTCCAGCCCCAGTCCTAGGGCATTTTCTAACTGGTGAGGATTAAGTGAAACTGTGACTTCACCCTACAACTTCCTAAAACTTGATCCTTCTCATGATAACATATTTAAATATCTATTTTCCCAGTAAATGTTAAAAGGAAAGCTGCGCCACTGTGGATTTAAAAACTAGAATATCTTATAAATAAGTTAACTTTTTAGAATTCTTACATCATGTCATAAAATTATATATCTCCAGTTCAAGCAACCTCAGGTTTTTCAGAATTATAACACAGAGCCTTCGTATAATTTATGTTAAGCACTTTTTATCCATGATCTCATTTTCACCCTTAAAGGTAAAGCTAATCAAATTTCCATTTCTAGATGAGAAAACAGGCAGCGAAACTGAGTGACTAAAATTTAACCCTCTAGACCTACTTGCGCTTCCTCACTCCCTTTGGCTTTAAGGCTTCCATAACAAGGACCTCCTTTATCGAGTACCTCATCTGTGCCAAGTGCCGTGAGCCTGTTCTCAATGGTCAAACACTAATTAGCCCCCATCCTCATGCAACCTACATGGGGGATGACAGTGACGAGGAAACCAGCATGTTCGTACGTGCTGTGCTGAAGGAAAGCAGACTTTGGTGCAAATACAATTTTGTTCCTTCCCACACCTCTAGAATTTAACGTGAGGTGGAAAGAATGTAAAACAGTGGCTTCTGTGCTTATTTCTAAGGCAAGAGGCAGAAATTATAAACCTAAGATTATATTTGTCTATGAAATGAAAACCTCTAATTTAAGTGAAATTGTACGTGATACACAAGTCTGAAATGAAGAACGAAAATATAAAATAGAATTTTTTGTATTGAGTCTACTTTTTCTATCATCAACAATATTTTTCAGGCTACATTTTTAAGACTTGGGGGCTGCTTTTTCTGTTTTAATCTGGGGCAGACTAAACTTTGGTAAGAGGAGGAAAATGTGATCTTTCCCGCAGCCGCAGCTCTGTGGCTAATGTTAGTTAAACCAAGAGAATACTCTTTATGTAGGAATACATTTTCATCTATATAAAATAGAGCTGATTTCATCCAGCCTCAAGGCTAGTGACAGAGAGGTAATTTCTCAAGGCTTCTGCCTGTGATTTTTACAGAAATATCTCTCCATGATCTGGTTGCTCACAGGATTTTTTTCAGTACAACCTTGAAGGAAAGGTCAATGTATAATCCTGGAGCCAAATTCCTGGGTCTCTTTGGCTGCTGAAAATCAGAGAACTCTTTAGTCTAGGTTCTGGAACACAGCATGATTATTTCAGTACCCAAACTGGGGTCAGGCCAGCGTTTGTCCAAGTGTGTGCCCAGACCACTGGCATCAAAACTGCTGACTGCATTAACAAGGCAGACGCCTGGCTCCACCAGGAATCCCTGAAATTGACCTTTCCGAGGGAGGCGGGCAGGGCTCAGAATTTCTCACGAGCTCTCTCTTTGATTCTTAGGTATACTAACATTTGAGAACTACTGAGTTATGATTTCAGTTAACTTATTCTCGGCTTGTCCAGTCTACTTTCACCATCAACACTGAGGCCCAGGAGGAAAGTACAATCTAGCTTTGGAAAACACCTAGTCTAATGGGGAAAAAATTACACATAAACAGATCAGAACTCAATATTTAAACCAGGCAGATAAAATATGATGCCCTTCTACCCTTTCTTCTCCCAAGAGTGACCATTTTGTCACTTTTTTGCTACCTTCAGGGTATCCTATAGCTTTAATAACACCTGTATGTATCCTCTTTATTAAAAAAAATATTAAACAACTACTTCCTATTTGTTTTAGAACTCTATTTCAGAGGTTTTAAAATTCATTTTAATTGTGTGTGTCTGTGTATTTGTGTATTTTAAGTTTGCTAACAGGGCAGGTGTGCTCGCCAGAGAGAGGGAAAGTGAGAAGTCACCTCTCACAGGGGATGGCCACACTGCAATTCCTTCCCTTCATTCTCTTCTTGGGACTTTGGGCACGTATGTGCACACACAACCAGTGAGATTTTCAAGCATCCAGGTCCGGGACTTGAACTGCATAACCAACCATTTGGGATCTAGCTGACTTAAACTCCATGCCACCTGCTAACCCGGCCATATGTCTATTTTTAAATATAATGGTTAAATGAAATGGTACCCTCATCTATTAATCGGGGAGAAAAGTTGTTGCACCAAACCAAATGGCGTGAGATTAAAATCTTGAGTAACTGCATCATGAGCACAGTGTATCATGGGGATATCCACCTTCCTGGATTGTCTTCCATGTTAAATGAGGTATGTACATAAAATCACCTAGTTCAGTGTCTAACACATACGACGCTCAATAAATTGTCACTGTTACTATTTACCATCAATGAAGAACTATAGGTCCAGAGTCCCTTATCTGGAATCCCTTATAGCAAGAGTTTTTGAGTTTGATGCATTTATTTTGTGGTCAAACCTGACCTAAATTGATTTATAGCCCCTTAATTATTCTACCAAGTGCAAACATTCACGTTACTCCGTATTTATTTGGTTAGATAGGTGTTTGATTAAAGGGCACTATCCCAGACCCCACTGAGAGTGCTATGAGTAGTTACGTGCAGAATGTGCACCATATTACCTTTTTAAAATCTGAAAAATTCAGGGCCAGCAGGTGGCACAGTGGTTGGGATGCTGGACTCCTAAATGGGCAACCACGGTTTGAGTCTCAGACCTGGTGGCTTGCTCTCACTTTCCTTTTCTCATCAGGTTGGAAAATAATAACAACAAATAAAATTAAATAAATATATTTTTTTAAAATCTGAAAAATCCGGGATGAGCAGTTGATGTAATGGCTACATTGCTGGACTCTCATGTAGTCGACCACGGTTGGAGTCCTTGACCCAGTGGCTTAAACTCACGCCAGGCACGTGTGTGTGCATGCCCAAGATCCCGAGAGGAGAATGGAGAAGGGACTGTGGTGTGGCCATCTCCCCTAGGGGGATATTTCTCGCTTTCTGTCTCTCTGTCTTTCTGGCAAGTGCATGCGCCCTATAGCAAAAACCTCTCCCCCCCAAAAAAAATCTGAAAAATTCGAAATTATTTTTCATCTGGTCCCAAGGGTTTTGGATGAGGGACTGTGGGACCATTTGTCTCTAGATATAATTTTTTTTTCTTTTATCCATTCAACACATACAGTACTTAGTGCTAAGGAAAAAAATGATTAATTAAGACCATTTTTCTTTCCTGGAAGAGTTCACAGTGGAATATGTGACAAAAGACTTGTACCCTACTTAGGATCTGAGTTCCAGGCCAAAAAAAAAAAAAAAAAATCATCCACAGGAAAAAAAAAAAAAACTTTGAAAAATCTTTAAAATTGCCCAGTGCAAAAAAAAAAAAAAACAGAGAGGGAGAGAGGGCGAAAGCGGCTTTATGTACAAAATTCTGCATGGTACTAGTGGATAAACTGATAATATAAAATATAACTATACTGCAGTATAAAGTATCTAATAAAGTAGATATGCAAATTGATATCTATAGTACTGCATCTTTAAGCACCAAAATCATAGATGTGTGAGATGAAGCATTCTCCTACAAGAAACAAGAGTTGCTGAGATAAAATCAAAGAACAGCAAATTCACATCTCCCATCTTACCCTAGGACAAGCAGGGATCTACTGAATTCTAATTAGCGAAGGGGACTTTGTGAATTATGGCTGTAACAAGTGTTCCTATTTGTTTTTGTCTTTCCAGATGGTACACAGAAAAATTCATTACAACACTGGTGTTGGGAAAGAGACTAGTCTATGACCCACAAGATGATTATAACAAGTCAGAATTTTACACAATATAGTTGTCTGGGGTCATACAGTTTGCACCCAGGGTCAAATTATTTAATAAGAATGAAATGATTATTAGTCTGAAAGTAAGAGTATCTTGCAAAACTTAAAGAAAAAATATATATATATACATGTGTGTGTGTGTGTGTATATATCTGTGTATGTGTGTGTATATATACACATACACCTAGACCACACTTGGTTAGGGATTTGGTTTAATAGGCCTAGATTGGCACTTAAGCATCTATACTTTAAAAAAGTATCATTTTATCTAATTTTTAAATTTGTTATTGGACATGTACTCACCAGAGAGACAGAGAGGGAGAGAGGGCGAAAGCAGAGGGTAAGAGAGCAAGCTGCCATGTCCAGGACTCAAACCGCGGTCAGCCATGTGTGAGTTCAGCATCTTAATCACATCACCTGCTGGCCCCAGAGCATGTAAAGTTTTTACAAAAGTTTCAGTGGTGATTTTGGCATGCTGCTGGTTGAGAACTTCCATTTTACTGAATTTACTTGGAAGTGTGGCCTCTGTTTTGAATATACTGCAGACCAAAGGTATCCGTATGGGCCTTTTCTGAAGATTATTTTTCCTCTTCTCCTTTCTTGAGATAATTTTTAAAAAACTAGAGGGCCAGCCAGATGACATGATGTTTAAGGCAGCTGAATCCCATGTGGCTGACTGCATGGTTCCACTCCTGGACCTTGAGGCATGAAAAAACACACCAGCACATATGCATGCATGCCCCAAACCCCAAGGGAATGGAGAAGGGCTAGCAATGTTGCCATCCCCCGTGGCGAGGGATTTCTCACTTTCTGTCTCTCTCTGGTGAGAACATGCACCTTCCTATAGCAAAAACTAAAACAAACAATAAAACCTACTATAGTTCACTCCCAAAACAATCTTACTTTACTGCTCCCCCTGCCTGTATTTCTCATTCCAAAGTTGCATTTTAAAATTATTTTATTTTAAAAACTCTTATATCTGGTAAGATGTAAAAATGCTGCTGTTCCACAATTGGAAATACAGGTGTCATATTTTACCACAACAAAGAAAATTCCCAAGAAATATTTTCCTTTTCCACATATATAACTTAATACAATAAAGTAAAAATGTTTGATTTCTCAACTTGCTGATTGAAGATATACTAGCAATTGAAGGAATTTACAATAACATGCCTTTACTTTGATTCTATTAATTATTTTGAATTCATATTTTATTATAAAGATTTTTTAAAGCTTTTATTAAATATTGAGTACATGTAAAATACTGAAGAGTTAACAAAAATGAATGATTTGGGTTCCTCTTATTTCTTTTTGGTCCTATCTTTAGTGGAAGTCTTGATGAACCATGAAATGATAAAGGCAAAAAGCGGAAGGAAGGGCAAGATAATCAAGCCCTGATTTACAAATACAGTCCTGAATATACGGCCACGAGTAATCCTAACATTGTTCAAAGAAAGAGCTGTCTACTTAGGGACTGACTTGTACATACTGTATGAACAGGAAGTCTTGAGAAATCTAAGAGTAAATGAACTCTACTGAAGATGCGATGACCATTACTTTACTTCAGAGACAAATACAACCCAACCATTCCAACCCGATGTATGTACTAAGCACAAAACTCACCAGTTCGATATGCCAACAACCTGGCCTGAACCATGCAGTGCCTTGCAATTTCTTGTGGCAAACTCTGGTTGTGACTTTCATTAATTTGTTCTGGATTGCTACAGTAAAATCCGAAGTGTTTAAAGTTGGGCACACTGGAGGATACTGTGGCCAAAAGTAGGATAAGGTCTTTCATGTTTTGCCTTAGATTGCTAAAGTATGGATTTTCACACAGGTTCTCCAAACCTATAGTCATCAGTATTTGTTTATGCATTTCTTCATTGGAAACCAAAAATAACATTTCATATTCTTTTATTCTTTCTTGTTTACATTCAGAATAAAAGTCAACGTTAGCATCCGGTAAAGTTTTTGTAATTTTTTGAATAAAGTCACATTTGTAAGAGGTCTCTTCTACAAACTGTACCATACAACACACCAAAGGTTGAAGTAAGACACACACATGGGCCCGACTGTTTGACTTCAATCTTTCCACTGCTTTGGCATCTAACTTTGCATCTTCAGAGCTAGAAGAAGCCTCAGTAAGCAAACTTATCTCTGGGTCAGCAGGCCAATACGAAATTCGGTTAACTCCAGCTGAAATACAAAATATGAAAGGTAATTATCTGATATATGTTAAATTCAGCACTTTCTTAACAAATCTACCTGTTGTTGCAGTAGATCCAGAGGCCCCAGTGTAATAAATGTCATTTCCCAAATAAGTCATTAAATAGCCCAAGGGTTGGCAAACTACCACCCTTGGGCAAAATCTGGCTCATTATCAATTTTTGCACAGCTTTCAGGTGAAGAATGAGTTTTACAACTTAAATTATTGGAAATACCAAAAGAATACTTTGTGACACATGAAATTACGGCAAATCAGATTTTCCACGTTCACAAAGTTTTCTTAGAACACACATCCATTCATTTAGTCTCTGGGAGCCTCTGCATGTAAGAGTGGGGTAGCTATGATACACAGCAGACAGCCTACAAAGCCTAAAACATCTACTACCTGACTGTTTACAGAAAGTTTATTGACCCCAAACGGAACACGTGTGGAGGCATTTGTGGGATCACTGGTTTTTCTAAATTGTTGCCCTAAAGCCCAGTGTCAGTCTCCCATGATTCCATGGCTGCTTTCAGAAATATTACGTACAGCCAACAACTGACAGAGTCTTCAGAGTTTTCTATCTAGAATAAATGATTCATCCATAAAAGTAAAATGTTCCTGTTCTGTGACTCAGAATTCTTCTGGGGAGTCATTCTACTGAAATATTCTAAATAGAAACCAAAATAAATAATGTATGTGTGCTTACTATACTACTCTTTAAAATAATAAAGTCATTTTAAAAAAACTAAATGACCTAACTAGGGAAATAGTTGAACAAATTATGGTCCTCCTCATAATAAAACATTATACAACTATCTACACCATGGCAGCCTTGTAGCCTAATGGTTAAGGGAGCTAGATCCTACGTGGCTAATGGCAGTTTGAATCCCAGCTCCACAGACTTGAAAAACCACCAGACACATGAGTGTGCATGCCCCAAATCCTGGTAGGAGAAATGGAGAAGGTATTGTATTGTGACCACTGGGAAGTACTTTCCCCTCCCTTCCTGTCTCTCTCTGGAGAGTACAAGAGCCTTCTGGCAATTAAAAAACACGTCAGTTAAGGGACCAGCAACTGGTATAATGGCTGTGTCGCTGGACTACCATGTAGTCGACCACAGTTTGCGTCCCGGACCTGGTGGCTTAAACTCATGCTGGGCATGTGTGTATGTGCCCAAAATCCCGAGAGGAGAATGGATGAGAAGGGATTGCAGCGTGGCCATCCCCCTGGGAGGTGATTTCTTGCTTTCTGCCTCTCTGTCTCTTTCTGGTGAATGCGTGCCCCCTATAGCAAAAAAAAAAAAACCTCTCCAAAAAAAAAAAAGTCAATTAAAAGTATATAAAAAATATTTTAAAAAATCGATTAAAAATATTTATATATACCCATAAATAATTCATACCATGAAAAAACTTACATAATATGGGGTGGAAGGAAAGCCATACTAATTTTTTTAAGCAGCAAAATTAAAGACAAAACAATAAATTAAAGGGAACATTTTTCAACTAATGTAACCAAGGAAAGATTAATGATCTTTAACATACACTAAAGATTTTAATTATGTGCACATATGAATTGACAAGAATAAGGTCTCAAGAGAGATATAAACAATTTACAAAAGAGAAAACATAAGTAGATAATAAACATATGAAAAAAATTTTTAATTTATATTTTAGGTTGAATGTTAAGATATCTTATACACAGAAAACCACCCAAATGTTCATCAGTGAATTAACAGTTTACAATAAAGAGAACCCTTTGCAAGTATCTTATATAAACTCGACTAGGAGACATTTTTTTTCTTGTTTGGGTAACTGACACTATGGAAAGTGAAACCACAGAAAAGAAGGAACTACTGGGATAATAACTGTAACTAAACTTATTTAATTATAGCATGGGATTCAATCATATTTCCTTTTCCAAGGTAACTAGTAAAATCTAACACAGCAAGTTTATTTATGCAGGCCTAACACCAACATGAAAGCATTTCCATTGTAGGTCCTTCCTGTTTTTCCACACTTCATTATTTCTTTTGCTAGGCTGACATGTCTTAACTCAAAGACATTAAGCTGTGGTGAGTTACCTGCACACTCCCCCATCGTTCTAATGCTTGGCTCTGAGACTACCCAGTGCTTTCAGTGCAGTCGGTTGAGCACAAGATAATTATATTTTATTCCTTCTTCTCCCTTGACTCTAGAACAGATCAGTCAACAAATGTTTTCATTTGTTTATATTCTTTCCTTTCTATATTAATGCCACCATCTGAACCCTATTTCATATCCTGCCTAATATAATAGTCTACTAATCAGGCTCCCAATTTCTAATCACTCCCTGCTCCAATTCAATAACAGTAGCAACAAAATAATTTCAATCATGGTGTATATATCCTGCTTTAAAATCTTTAATGTCTCTCCATCATCTATAAAAGGAATTAGAAGTCAGTTGAACACAATGAGAATTAATTTGCTTGGCTGAACGGGAAAAGGAGAAAAAGCGGCCACCACTACTATAATACTAATCTTCACTATTGGATAGCAATGGAGAGAATATGGACACAAACCACTATGGAAATATTTGTTGCAGTCCAGAAGGCTTCTAGCCATACAATCTTTACTTTTAAAAGTTCTTCCACTTGTGGATCAAAGCAATAACTTTGAGATCTCATCATTACTCTTAAGATTTTTATGTAAATAAAAATCACTTCTACTCAAAACAGGTCTAAGAATTCTGACTCATACAACAAAGCCCAAAGGTCAAAGAGTTATTTTTAAATTCTTTTTTAAATTATTTGTTTTTATTTTATTAAGTATTATTATTTATTATTAAACCGACAGGGGTTGGAGAGAGCAAGCTGCCGGTCCAGGACTCAAACCTCAGTCACCTATGTGGGAGTTCAGCACCTTACGTACTGTGCTACCTGCTGGCTCCCAGTTTTTTTAAATTCTTAATTTATGCCCCATCCTATCTTTATAGTCCATCTTAGATCATCCAGGCATGATCTTCCATTTCAAATTCTGACCCCAGAACTTAAATTCTTACAACTTGATAACTCTACATGTGTTGATCACCTGATAAGTTGTGTTTCTCGTCCTCTATATCCAATCAATATTCCGCTTAAGCTCCAGCTTCTCATAACATGACAACCTGTAGGAACCACTGTTTCTCCTCTGAGATCATGTCACTTACAGCCTGCATCATTCATTGGTACTAGATGATATGCTATATTAAATTGTTATTCAAGCCCCTAAATAACATGTTGAGGAAAAGAATTAGGAACATTAGGTTTCTTTCCTTCTTTTTAAATCTGCTATACTGTATATGTACAAGATGAAAGAGATAAAGAGACAGTGAGGGGGAGTGAGAAAGTATCCCCTATGGGGCATGGCCATGCCACAATCCCTTCTTCTCCATCTCTCCGTCCTTTAGGGGACTTTAGGCACACATGCACACACACCCTGTGAGTTTCTCAAGCTGCCATGTCTGGGATTTGAACCCCACAGTCAGCCCTGTGGGATCAAGCTCCTTAACCAGTATGCCACGGTCTGGCCAAAGATAATAGACTTTTTAAATGGAAGAATGGACTGCATATTTACCTGGTCATCAGCACCCAGAAATTAGAAAGCAGCCTAGCGTGGCAGAGATGGATAGCTGAATGTTAAGACTTCATGCTCCTCCTTCCAAAGTTTAGAGTAGCCAAGGAGAGAAAGCTGCCCAGCCAGGGATTATAGTTCCCACAAAGAATATGAACACAAATGATGAATGTGACTTCCAGGCCAGAGTTTTAAGACACAGTACACTTCCTTTACCCTCTTTTTCTCAGTCTTCCTCCAGATGCTGAGGACCAAAGGGCTTAGGAATGACAACAGCAATAAGACAGAAGAGACCTAGGCCTGTGAGCAAACCACATAGACGGAGAAAAGCTGCCTGCTGCTCAACAACACCTGCACAGGACTATTATCTGGGTGAAAATGTCTAGTACATTCAGCCACAGAAACGCTGAATTTGGAAAGCACCTAGTATGAGTCTACTAGTTCGGTGAGGGTCATTTAACTGGGTCATGGACAAAGCGGAAACAAAAATCCTTGTTTTCTGACTCTAACTTTTATAACATGTTAAATTGTCTTCAGATATATATGTGCATTTCCCAATTATCTCTGTGGTATTTGTGCAATTTGTTCCCACTGATTGCTCTCAGATAAATGCTCTTAATTCCCAACTAAGGCTTATCTGCACTTACCATTTACAACCATTTTCAAACAAGCAGAACATGGTTTTCTGGAAAAATAAAGATCACAGTTTTTCAGCCTTGACCCATGTTTAATAAGAGCAATTTGACCAGCATGTAAATCTTCACTAGAACAGTGGAGACCAACAATTTTCATGTTTTTCACCACCACAAGACCAGTTCTCTTCTCCTACATTAAGATAAAAAAAAGAAAACAACTTATTAGCTAGAAAAGTAATGATCATGATGGATTACACTTGACTTATTAATAAAATACAAGCTTTTTAAATTTTTTTATCTGAACATAGTTTGTTAAAAAGCACACTTTCCATTAGGTCCAAAAATCTTCTGAAAATTTAGTACTGACTTTAGACCAGAAATGTTCTAAACTTTGGCTCTATTAAGCCAAACAATCAAGCATATACTTCTCATTAATTGTTCTAGTAAAAAATACATTTTAACCTAGTAAAGGGCAAGAACTAAGCTAATATGATTTGTTTCTTACAGTATGGTAAGAGGTAAGATGGTAAAAGGCAGAACCAAAGCAGAGGTCATCTTAAATTCTAAAATATTTTACTGGGTCATTGGAAGTCGTAACATACTTTTCTATACAAAAATGTATCATGGCTTTTCCAATGATCTAATAAATACTGACTAAAATAAATATATACACAACTTCTTTATAAAAATTGGCTAAAAAGGGGCTGGCAGGTGGCATGGTGGTTAAAGGCACTGGATTCCCACATGGCCAACTATGGTTCGAGTCCTGAACAGGGTGGCTTGCTTTCTCACTTCCTCTCTCTCTCTCTCTCTGTTCCTTTCTGGTAAAACTTAAATAAATAAATAAATAAAGTTAAATTGGCTACACCAACTTTTAGCATTATATTTATAATGTATTACAAATATAATTACATCACATTTTTCTTTTTTCCCTTTATACATATAACAAAAAGAGAGAGCGCGCACCTCACATGTCAGTAAGGAAGTGAAAACTGAGACTCAGAGCAATGAGTCTGAGCTCTTTTAGCAGCATTCCACAGACAAGGGATTGAGTTACCTTTCATATAAGCCCCACAGGCCAGGGACTGGCTGGAGTTCCAGAAAGTTCTAATGGATTGCTTTGAGGAAAGATTTTCTATTACTTCAAGCCTAAAATGTCCTCATTATATGAATGCTAATCAAAAAAGTTGGTTTAACAACAGTAATATCAGATAAAATAAACTAATGCAAAAAAAAAAAAAGTTCTACATAAGCCACAAATAGTCTACACTGCTTTCACAGTAGACTGTAAAATAAGGAATGTAAATCTGATCCTTGAGTTCAGGACTGATTATTACAAGAACAGAACTTGGGCTGAGAATAGTAATATCCATCCCTGCTCAAGGGGATTTTAACCTATATTTAATCCCAAGCAGAATTAAAGGCACTGGATTCCCACATGGCCAACTATGGTTCGAGTCCTGAACAGGGTGGCTTGCTTTCTCACTTCCTCTCTCTCTCTCTCTCTGTTCCTTTCTGGTAAAACTTAAATAAATAAATAAATAAAGTTAAATTGGCTACACCAACTTTTAGCATTATATTTATAATGTATTACAAATATAATTACATCACATTTTTCTTTTTTCCCTTTATACATATAACAAAAAGAGAGAGCGCGCACCTCACATGTCAGTAAGGAAGTGAAAACTGAGACTCAGAGCAATGAGTCTGAGCTCTTTTAGCAGCATTCCACAGACAAGGGATTGAGTTACCTTTCATATAAGCCCCACAGGCCAGGGACTGGCTGGAGTTCCAGAAAGTTCTAATGGATTGCTTTGAGGAAAGATTTTCTATTACTTCAAGCCTAAAATGTCCTCATTATATGAATGCTAATCAAAAAAGTTGGTTTAACAACAGTAATATCAGATAAAATAAACTAATGCAAAAAAAAAAAAAGTTCTACATAAGCCACAAATAGTCTACACTGCTTTCACAGTAGACTGTAAAATAAGGAATGTAAATCTGATCCTTGAGTTCAGGACTGATTATTACAAGAACAGAACTTGGGCTGAGAATAGTAATATCCATCCCTGCTCAAGGGGATTTTAACCTATATTTAATCCCAAGCAGAACAACTGAAATCATTTTAAGGATCAGATCAAAGCTAAAATAGTGAAGTTTCAGATTCAGTTATGAGTATAAATATTTGAAAACACAGAGAACGATATTTTGTGAAATGCCTAAAAGAAGGAATAGAGGACAATCAGGTGGCATGGAAGTTAAGGTGCTGGATTTCACAAGGTCGATGGCATGGTTCTGGACCTGGTGGAACAGGCAGCTTGAAAAATCACATTGGGTGCATGTGTGCATGCCCAAATCCTGAGAGGAAATTAGAGAAGGGACTGTGGCATGGCCGTCACCTCAAGGAGTGATTTCTCATTTTCTCTGTCTCTCTCTAATGAGTCCATGCAAGTGCACTATGGCAAATAAATAATACTTCCTTTATAAAATATATATCTAAGAATATGCCTAAAATATGAAAAATCTATATTGACTTTTATAAAATAAGCCTTAAAATTACACTGAATTTGTGAATCCTTCCCCTTACCATCCCTTTACAGCTTTATGTTCCTCAAATACAAAAAATATTTTAGAATCTACTAAATACTTCCAGCAAGTTTGCTTTAAAAAAAAAAATTATTTTGAGTAACTTTTTTACTGATGATGTTTGATCAAAAGATCTTGGAACTATAGCTCATGTCGTTAAACTGAACCAGTGTGACCAGTAGAAGTGGCTGCAACTAAATGATTTTATCTTTAGATTTTCTAAATAATTAAGTAAACAGAACTAAGGCCCAAAATCTTGAACACAAAATGACTTAAAAAAAAATGTTCCTATTACATGGGAAGCATACCACCAACCTACTTTTTATTACAACTATCTTTTGGGCCAAGTTTATTCACCACTTATTTTGTCTGAAATCCTTCTTACCTCAAGAGAAAAAAATTTCTTTGCTTGTAACTGAGGTCAAAATATCAAGTTTGAGACAAGATTTTTTTTCCATCCCAAACTTAACAAAATGAAACAGACAGAAACCTCGGTTGCATTCCATTTCGGCACTTCCACTTACTGCAACTCCCAGGAAGACTGAATCTTTTCAGTGAATCACTGTTCTTGATCTTGATTTTGCTTCACTTCACTAACATCTTGGCAAGTCGTCTAGGTAAATCCTAGTCACAGAGTTTTACATTAAAACATGGGCAAACAAGGACAGTGTCTGCTGTATATGAACTAGCATACTTACTTAAATGGTGATTCACTATTTTTTTTCCTTTTGCCTTTCTTATAAAGAAAACATCTAAAGTTTCTGAGACAAATTATTTCCATATTCTTTTTTGGGCATTTTAGAGACTCACCCTCAGAACTAATCAGGAAATCTCCAGGAATATATATCATAAGCATTAAGGAAACTCTTTTCAAAATATAAATGCTTAGGCCCAGCTATTATGGGTACAGCACTAACAAAGTGCCTTGCAAAGCTGAAAGCCACACAGTCAGCCATGGGTTCTGATACCCAGGTTGGCCTGAAAACATACTAGGCATCCTTCTCAGGATTCTGAGGAGCTAGAGGGCTGGCTATATAGGAGCCGGCAGGTGGCGTGGTGGCTAAGGGTGCTGGACTTCCTTGTGGCAAGAGGATTGTGGCGTGGCAAGACCCTATTGAGGGTGTTTTCTCTTTCTTTCTCACACATGTGCACACACACTTGCTATCATTAAAATACACACACAGGTATGTGCACATACTCAATCTCCACTCCACACCAATGAACCAGAATCTCTGGAAAACTCAGGAGATTCAAGTAATAAGAAAATACTATGCAATAGTAAAAAGAAAAAGGGTCTAGACCAACTAGATGGTATGGTGGTTAAGGTGGCTGGATTACACATGGCCAAGGATACAGTTCAAGTCCCAGACCTAGTGGCTTGGAAAATATATCAGGTGCATATATGAGCACAACTAAAATTCCAAGAGAATAGAGTAGAAGGAATTGTGGCATGGCCATGCTTGCTGTGGGTGATTTATTATTTTTCCTCTCACTCTCCCTTTCCCCTTTCTCTCTGTATCTCTCTAGCAAGAACACATACATAAAGCAAAAACTAAAAAAAAGGAAAATGTTTGTCTTTCAGGTCTAGGCTTTAATTTTAACCTACTTAACTAATAAGTTAACCTGTTACTGTTTCTGGATGATTAGCAGAAGTCATGAAACTCCTCGGTCAGAGACAAAGGACTTCATCATTCACAACACAATGTGAGCATCATGTTTATAATGGTTCCCTCATGCGGTAAGGCCCAGATAGCTGCCTGGACATGCAGTGTACTGTGTTACTAGAGGAGAACACCAAGCTTGGGTGTACTGCTGGTTCACAGTAAATAGTGAACCAATCTGCTCTTTGCCCTGGAGGTAGACATTATTACCTCAATCTTCAAGACCACTCATTGCAAACATAAGTCTGAGAAACAGCCGACGTAAAGAGCGG